AGGAGTCAGAACCAACTCGACAGCATTGTATTCTAAAGAGTCCCTGGGTGGCACAAATGGTTAAGTACTCGACTACTTAAGTTAGAAAGGTTGGCGTTTTAAACCCACCCTGAGGAGTCTTGGAAGATGGGCCTAGTGATGTGCTTCTGAAAGGTCACAACCTTGAAAACTCTACCAAGCAGTTCTACTCAGCACATGAGTCACCGTGAGCCGGAAGTGACTCACTGGCAACTAGTAACAATATATATTAGAAATTCCATAATACAATGCTCTCATTTTGCATTAGAATCAACTGTTTTCCAGAAAAATTAAGAGTATTTTTAAAATAGTCTTTTACATTTATCCACAAATTTACTATTTCCAAGGCTTAACCACCACCACCCCTCTTTTTTTTTTTTTCCTATTTCAGTGCTTTATGGATGTTATTCCATTATTGCCTGCCTCTCATTGTTTCTGATATCAAGTTAGCCATCATTTGTGCCTTTATTCCCTTGTCTGAAATCCAGAATTTCTATCTTTGGTTATGCCAGATTACCAACAGTTTTACTAAATGGGAAGAAAATTAACTAAGGTTTGTAATTTTCCTTTGACTTCTTTGATGATTTTCTCATTTTCATTTGCTATCAATAGTCAAACTGATGTTCCTACGTGTGGGTTTCCTTGTCTTCATCCTTCTTTGGACTTGCCTAAATTCTTGGATCTGTAAGTTAATGTTTTTCCACAAAATTTAAGATTTCAAACTAGATTTCTTAAAAAAAAAAAAAAAACTCTATTTTCTCTCTCCTATCTTTAAGGATTTTAATTATATATGTGTTTGATCACTTGATATTGATTCTGAGGTTGACAAAACTTAGTTAATTTTCTTCCCACTTACTAAAAGTATTGGCAATTTGATATAACCAAAGACAGAAATTCTGGATGTATGTAAAAGGCAATTTTTCTATTACTGATTTGTAGACCACCGCACATATAGCATGTATCCCGTGATCTGCTGTAATGGCAAAGATCTTAATTTGCTTCTGGAAACAGAAGGCTCTGTCTAGCTTTCTGTTCTACCCAAAGTTCAAGTTAGAATGCTCCAAAGCAACTCTGGAGTGTTGAGGCTATCTTTCATTCTTTATTCCATAACTCTGAGCACCTTTCATCGGCTAGATCGTTTTATTTCTTGTTCTGTTAATCTGTATGCAAGTTCATTAATTTTTCTTTCTTGGTTTCTAATATCTCGTCAAGCCCATCTAGTGGGATTTTAATTTCAGATATTCTTTTCCATTCAAGAATTTCAGTTGATGCTTTTTAGAGTTCCCATTCCTCTGCTGTTCACCCTGTCACCCCATCTGTTCACATACTGGGGATTTCTTTCCCCTTAATTCTCTGAATATGTTTACAATGACCAAAACAAATAACAACAAGTCTTAAGATAAGCACTGGGCTGCTAACCACAGTGTTGGCAGTTCTAACCCACGAGCCTTTCTGTGGGAGCAATATGAGACTTTTTGTCCCCATGCAGCTTTACAGCCCCAGAAACCCAGTAAAGAGTGGCTGTGAGTCCGAATTCATTCAATGGTAAGGGGTTTGTTTTGCTTTTTAAACTGTTACTGAGTTTTCCACATGGGTTAGTGGGTAGGACCAGTCATTAGCAAATCCAAGAGCATGACCTTCCAAATAAGCACTGGACTGTGAACCACAAGGCCTGTGGTTCAAGCTTGCCAGCCACTCTGTGGGGGAAAAATGAGGCTTTCTAATCCCTCAAAGATTTAAAGCCTCAGAAACTCTATACAGGGTCACCATGAGTTGGAAGTGACGCAACAGCACTTAATAACAACAACATAGATCTGTTTATTCATGACTTCAGACTCAGAGTTTTAGTTGTTCAGGCTCCAATTTCTATATCCCATTACTGAATGAATTATTTTGGCTACCTACATATGGGAATCCTGGTGTGGTGATGTAGGATAAACACTGGACTGCTAACCTCAAGGTTGGCAGTTCAAACCCACCAGTCACTCCTCGGAAATGCTATATAGGGTTTCTATGGATGGAAACCAACTCAATGGCACTTAGTAATAACAGCAACCTATATATCTGTATATTGACAAATTCTATGTTGATTTTTTTCTCCTTTTATGATAACAAATCTTGATTTCCTTTACATTATTAAGCATCCTTCACCTCAGCATTTCTCAGGGTTGGTGAAATATGCATTTAGCTTTAATCTTCACTGAGTTCTCCTGGCCAGGTTTCCTGGGATTGTTTCATGACTTGACCTAGAACTACGGCTGGAAGGGATAAATGGTAGATTCCACGTGCTACTGTTGTCTCCAAGTTAGTGCTAATCCTGGAGCCAAAAGAAACACAATCCTCTTCCTGCACTGGGGGGAGGGAGGTATGTTGGAATAGTTGCAAACACATGCTATTTATCTTGAGAGATGGCCAATGTTTTTAAAGTAGCCAATAAATGAAATATATTTACAAAAACTGCACTATCCCATTATCAAAGAAAAATGTCAGGCTCACTTGATTTCATCGGTGCTATGAAGAGTCCTTGGCTGGTGAAGAAATGCTATCTCTGGTCCCTCTTTGTCAGTCATGATAATTTGACAAGTCACACATTCTTGCCCAATAATTTTCCTATACTGACCTCATTATGTTTAATGTATAGAATGATACAAATCCTATGAATTCTTCAAGCTTCAGCCTCTATGCTACATGATCCAAGTAGTCTTTTGTAAGGACACTGAGCACTATTTTAATTGCTCCAGTAGAACTTAAGATTCTCAGTAAAGGGATGCTGTCTTGTTTTCAAAGTTGTTGTTGTTGTTAAGTGCCTTTGAGTCGGTTCCGACCCATAGCGACCCTGTACAGGGTTTCCGAGGGTGTAAATCCTTACGGGAGTAGAAGGCCTCATCTTTCTCCCGCGGAGCGACTGGTAGTTTCGAACCGCTGACCTTATGGTTCGCAGCCCGATTCGTAACCACTACGCTACCAGAGCTCCTTGTTTTCAAAGTAGTCATAGTTATTAAGAAAAAGCCCTTGAAATAAGGCAGACTGTAAGTCCAGATTCTGCCACTTTCTGTGTAATCTTTGGATTTTCTAGTTTTCTATAAGCTGTAGGAAAATAAGGATAATAATAGTGCCCACCTCACTTGGTTGTGTGAGGAAGATACGGCAAGACAGACCAAGTGTTAGGGCAGTTCTTGTCCCTGTCACACTATTACGATCACAGTGGAACCTGTGAGAGCCAAACCTTGGTAGGACTGCCCTGGTTTTCAGGTCTCACAAGCTCCCCCCCTTTGACGGGGTGACCAGTCTGACCACTTTTTCTATCTTCTTTATTAGTGGAAATTATTTGAGTTGTTCTTTTATACCAGTTTCTTTCTTACACAGGTTCCAGCTTTCAGAGGTTTTACTGTATTGTTATTGTTACGGAAATTCTTTCCCTCCACAGTAAATGCTTAATGAATAATTACCTAAATCAGTTACTTGTTAAATTGAATAGGCTCCATTCTGGTGAATGAGGTGAAAAAGGGTACAAAGAACACAAAGTCTGGTAAATTACAAGTTATGAAAAAAACAAACAACTAAGGAAAAGAATGAAATGCACAATCTATATTAAATAGGACGGTCAGGGACATGTAAGCTGAGACTTAAAACATGAGCAGCAGCCCAACACAGTGGGGAGAACAGCTTGCCAGGAGGAGAGAGCATCATGGACAAACATTCTGAGGCAGGCAGGTACTTGAATCTTCAAAGAAATGCAGACCACCAGGATGATGGGACAGAATGAGTAAGGTAAGCATAGCACCAAAGGAGATTTTTAAAAAGGTAGCAGAGGTCAAGACAAAAGAGCTTTATGAGACCAGAGTAGAGAGTCTGGCTGCTAGTCTAAGTGCAAAGAAAAGATTGTATGGAACAGGATGTCCCTCAATCCACTCAATCCATGATTCGCAAAAAGATTTTGAAGAAGGGTCAGACTTTCTGAAAATATTTTGAGCTTATTCAGAGAAATGAAGAATATAAGTGCCGAATGAAGTATCACCATTCTGATTGAAGTTATTGATTGCCAACCAACAAAATTCCTTTTACTACAGATTTCATTAACTTACATTTTTCCCATGCTTACTAGGGATCACCCCATGGGTACTGTGGCCCACATAACACAGGGGGTAGACAAGAGGGAGGAATTACCTAGGCAGGAAAGATTAGAGCAAAAGGGAAGAGAGCCATAGTCAAGCCTGTTATGAGGCCCCAGGATGGCAGTGCCTATCTGGGTAATGAGGACCGTATTAGATAAGAAGCAATTCGAAAGATATGCAGGAGAGGTTTCTCAAGAAGAGAAATGAGACCTTATGAGATGTTGGACAGGCTGAACAAAGGCTATGAGGACACTTTAAGAAAATTTACATTTATGTATTAGATAATTCTCTTTACAAGTCAGGCTACCCTTGGGAATCAGATTTTTACTGTTGTAAACTTCACCTCGAAGGCCAAGTTTATCCTCTCTTGAAATAACTTCATTACTTCATATTCTTCTTTTTCTCAAAACCTGCTTCATATTAGTGACTACTTGGCACTAATTAAGGACACTGTCACCAATATAACAAAGTGTTTCTACTTTCACATGATATATTGAGTCATTAGAACGAGTTCCTCTCTTAAACAAGGACATTTCTTCCAAAAGGAAAGGTCTTTGGGGAACAGGCGGCACATGCAGATCCACAGTACCTTTCACTGAAGACAGATGAATCTAGAAGTGTGCAGAATGACTGGGCTTTCCAAAATGTGTCAGTATTTAGTCTCCAAAAACAATAAAACAAACAAACTTACAGTACTTTGAGACAGCATGTGTCTTAAGAACAGCTTCGGGTTAAGTTCCATTTTTTAGTTCTTTGAGGGTGAAGGATAGTCTATGTAATGCCAGCTATGAACTTAGTGATGACTAATTATTTTTCATTTCACCACAGCGGATACAGAAGTTAAGAGCAAAAATGGTGAATACCTACTGTTGCCAGGTAACTGCATCCACTGTGCTTCCAGCCACCTTCATGAATCTATAAGGAATAGAAAGAAAGAAAGAAAAAACAAAATGAAAGGAAACCACACCTCCAAGGTTAAAATAAGATAAACAGAAACATAGATTGGGCCAATCGATGAGCAGCTACTTTCTGCCCATGTCCACAACCATTGGATGTCACAATGATTGGAGGCCAATGCAAAGAAGGTAAAGGTAGCCTTACTTTCACCGTCTTCACACACTCTTCACCTCCAAAGCCCCAAAACAACATTCTACCTGTGTCTGTCTTCCCACGGTCATGCCTGATGCCTCCCACATTGCTTCCCCTATAACCAAAACTTACTGTTCCATGTCCTAAGAATTCTGATCATTATCAGGAAACAAATGTCATTTCCTAAAGATGACAACACAATAGATACATTCGACAAACCTGAGGTCTTTCTTCCTGGAGACCTGATTGTGGAACATGAAACACAATCAAATATTCACTAATGATGGGCTGCCACCCCCGCCTGAGTGCAGAAACCTGGACACCACCAAGCGACAAGAACCATGTTCAGAGCAGTGAAACAGTGTAATCTCATCTGACCTGTGCACTCAGCTTAAAAGGGAAACCAGCCTTGGTTCTGCACAACTTAAGCACAGCAAAGCTCCTGGGTTCATGAAGGGGCCAGAGAACCAAAAGGCCAGGAGGAAGTGTCTGGAGACTCACTTAAAAGTCACAGGTCTATGGATAACTCAGTGATCTACTACCATAATCTTTTTTTATTTTTTTAAGTTTTTATTGTGAATTATGTGGGCTTACAGGGAAGAACATCAGTTTTACATTCATCCCATTGCACTTCATTTCATTGCAATGATTATAATCCCCTCCATGCATTACCAAAAAACCAAAGGGTACACTCCACAGGCCTGTTGCCCGGCTGTCAGCACACAGCCCCTCTCCCTTCCTGAGTCCAGTGTCCCCAGCCGCTCCATCTGTCCACGTTATCGTCCCTGCCTCCATTTCCGGAGTCACTGTTTCTCTGGGTAGGGTCCCGCACTACACTCTTCTCACTTGATGGTCCCAGGGACCTCTGCTCCTGGACTGCAAAATCAATCACTCCCCTCCTTTTGTTACAAAAAAAAGTCTATCTTTACATTTGCAATGCTCTTCGTCAGTCCTGATAGCAATTATTCACTACAGTACTACACAAATCTTATTCCCCATCTCCTTTCATTAGCCCCATCCCAACAGGTTAGAAATCATTCAGTGAAGATTCTATCTTCCCCCCGTCCTATCGGAAACTAGGCTCCCTCTTGAAAGCTTGTAAGCCAGTCACTTCTTGCCTTTGTAGCCCCTCCATTTTGGGTAGCCAGTGTCTAAGTTGCCCATCCCTGTCAACCCTGTGTACCGCTGGGGTGGGAGTGATCCTCTCTGTAAAGATTTGTTCCCTTTTTTGAGCTATTAAATCCATAAGTATAGGTAAAGTTCATCAAATTGTAGCGAGTTACTCTTGTTTTTTCCTCTTCTTTCTTCTTCTAGTCAAGTTCTGATCATCCAGCCATTGAAGCCAGGTCAAGTAAGTACTATCTAAAAGTATGGTGTTTTTGTGCATCTCGCCTCACTTCATATCAGCTGGACACTTCGTTCTCTGCTCTAGTCTTTTCTGTGGCCATGTCACTGACTGTGAGCCCAGGAGTCGCCAGGTCTTGCAATACTGCTGGCCAACCAGGTCTCCACCTGGGTTCACAGGAGTTTATTGAATGTGGTCGAACTTAGCTCCTAACTTCATTGCGGTTTTTCCCCCTCTTCCCCTTATCAGTGACCAACGTGGTCATCAGCCAGCCCACATGCCTGCCATGTATTCCCCTTGAGTCTCAGTCTTGGAAGGGGGTTTGTCCTGAGGGGACCTGACCACTTGCCTTGATGGCTCCCTGGCAAACAACTTGCTTGTTCTTGTAGTAGTCAATCAGACTGCCATTATTGTTTTTGATTTTTCCTGCTGATCTTTCTTTCATGAAGTATCTTCTGTTGTTCTAGCCACTCCAGGCTGGTCTACTTGTCCTTTCAAGTGGAAATTTCCCACCTCAGAGGATTCTGTATGGGGTTCAGGAATCCACCCATGGTCTTATGCAATGCAAAGCCTCCACAGGAAGCCTCTTTCATAGGCAACTTCTAGCCCCCTTTAAGGTATTCCAATCAGTTATAAGCTGAACACAGACTTACAAGTTTTCTATTGTGATGTTTCTGGCTATTCCTTTCTCTCCCCCTCAAGTGTCTATTTTACAATGGTAGGCAAGGGAAACCAAGATTCAAAAGACAGCCAAGCATCCTAATCTTAACATTATTCCCCTCTTTTACCCATTCAAACCATGCCTCAATCTCTGTATCCAGGAACCCTGTTTGTTGTTCCAAGGTTGTGCATACATCATTATTTACCCCCTGACCCACTTAGCCCATGCATACCTGCCTAATTGTTCTCCCATTACCCTACCCCTTCTTGTGTATTGCCTCCTCCCTCCCCCCAGCACCCAAGCTGTCCTGTGTCTATTCCCTACTCTGTGCTCAATCTTCCCCTCCCTCCGTCCCTCCCCTCACCTCATCCCATACATCCCAGTGATCAGCAAATATATGTATAAATTTTCCCCCCTTTTAGGGTGGGTTCTTTTTCTTAGTCTTTTACAATAATGGTCCTATGCAGTATTTCTTCTTCTGTAACTGACTAATTTCACTCAGCATAATATCCTCAAGGTTCATTCATATTATGCGGTGGCTTGCAGGTTCCTTGTTGTTCTTCAAGGTAGCATAATATTCTATTGCGTGTATGTACCACAGTTTGTTTATCCATTTTTCAATTGATGGGCACTTGGGCTGTCTCCATATTTTTGCCATTGTAAATAGTGCTGCTATGAACATTGGTGTACGTATATCTACTCATGTTATGGCTCGTATTTCTTGTGGGTAAATACCTCATAGAGGAATTGCTGGATCATAATGTATTTCTATTTTCAACCTTCTGAGGAAGCACCATATTGCTTTCCAGAGTGGCTGGACCATTTTGCAATCCCACCAACAATGTATGAGGGTCCCAGTCTTTCTGCATCTTCTCCAGCATTTATTGTCCTCTACTTTTTTGATCTTTGCTGTTATTGCTGGTGGTCGGCAATTCAAGCTCACTAGCTGCTCCTCAGAAACCCCATACAGGGTCGCTATGGGTCGGAACTGACTCGACGGTATTTAACAGCAGCAGCAACAACAAATGGCTAGTGATCGTGAACATTTCTTCAAATGTTTGTTGGCAGCCCGGATCTCCTCCTTGATCAAGTGTCTGTTCATGTCCTGTGCCCATTTTTTAATTGGGTTATTTGTCTTTCTCTTGTAGAGGTGTTATAGTTTCCTGTATATTTTAGAAATGATTCCCTTATCTGATGTGTCATTACAAAAGATTTTTTCCCATTTTGTGGGTTCCCTTTTTATGCTTTTGGTGAAGTCTTTTGGTATGTTTTTAATTTTTAGTATGTCCCAATCATCTATTTTGTCTACTTTTGTTTGTGTAATTTTCAAAATGTTTGTAGTCTGTTTATGCCCTGAATTAAAGCCCTCACATCTGTCTCTATTTTTTCATTGTTGACCTTCATAATTTTGGGATTCACATTTAGGTCTTTATTCCATGCTGAGTTGGTTTTTGTACACGGCATGAGGTGAAGGTCTTGTTTCAATCTTTTGCATATCGCTTTCTAGTTCTGCCAGCACCATCTGTTAAAGAGACTATCTCCTCCCCATGCAACATACCTAGGCACTTTGTTGAAAATCAGTTGGTTGTATGTGGATGGGTTAATTTTTGGGTTCTAGATTCTGTTCCATTGATCAATGTATCTTTCATTGTACCAGTACCAGGCTGTTTTGACCACTGTGTCATGCAGTAAATTTTGAAATCGGTTTCCAACCTTGTTCTTTTTCTTAAGCAGTGCTTTGCTTATCCAGGGTCACTTTCCTTTCCATATAAAGTTTGTAATTGTCTTTTCCATCTCTTTGAAAACTGTCACTGGAATCTGGATTGGGATTGCATTATATGTGTAAATTGCTTTGGGCAGTATTGACATTTTCACAATGTTAAGTCTTCCTATCCAGGAGCATGGTATATTCTTCTACTTATGTAAGTCTCTTTTGGTTTCTTGTAGTAGTATTTTGTAGTTTTATTTGTAAAGGTCCTTTGTTTCTCTGGTTACATTTATTCCTAAATATTTAATCTTTTGGGTGGCTAGTGTAAACGGTATTGCTTTCCTAATGTCCTTTTCAGCACTGTCATTGTTACTATAGAGGAATCCAACTGATTTTTGGATGTTGACCTTATACCCTGCCACTTTGCTGAATCTTCCAATGAGGTCTAGTAGCCTTTTTACTGAGTCTTTGGGGTTTTCTATGCATAGGATCATATCGTCTGCAAATAGAGAGGTCTAAGCACCTTCTTTGCTACACGACAACCACAACAAAGGGGGCAGAAAATTATGCACTAAGCTATAACCGTGCTGACAACTAACTGCTGTGGAATCACTCTCCAAAGAGCACTTGGCTCTACCTTCCGTAGTAGAAGAGGAGTAGAGATTGAGAAAATCCTTACCTTCTACAGGACTTTGGATCGATCAGTGAAAGAAGATAGGATTTTGCATGAAGAGCAATCCAGGCAAAGGAACAGCATGAGCAAAGCAAGAAGAGTCCAGGTGAGCTCTGTTCTCAGGAGCCTGGTGTGACTGGTCACCAGACAGGCAAGGGAGAGATGGAAGGCTGGAAAAACTGACTGGTCTGATCACTAAAGCTGGTCTAGAATGCTAAGAAGTTTGCTGTTTATTCCTTACCAACAAGTACTAGTCCTTTGGCTAATACTAAAACAGACTAGGAAGAAGGAGAGGCAGATTACTTCTGGTGTGGTGTGTAGGATAAGCACTGGACCACAGGGTCAGTTGGAAGTGCAAGGCCCCTCTTGCAATCACTCCTCAGAAACCCTATACAAGGTTGCTATGAATTGGAATCGACTCACCAGCACTTAACAACAA